TATTAATGAGGCCTGAGTTCACCTTCCTGATCCTGTCCAACAGCCCTGCATCCCATGGGTGCTGCAGCCAGCACCTGTTTCCTCAGGTCATTGGCACTGAGAGAGGAGGGGAGCTTACTGGGCTCTGCCAGCTGAGGCAGAGTTCGTGAGGTGCTGCATCTCCTGCCATGATTACTGTGCCTTTAACCTTCTCTTCCTGCTCCTCTTTTGCAGACTCTGGCCACTGCTGTTATCCCACAGTGGCAGAAGGATGAACTGAGAGAGGCTGTTAAAGCACTGAAGAAGGTCATGGATGACCTGGACCGAGCAAGCAAAGCTGACATCCAGAAAAGAGTGAGCTGTGGGCTGCCATAAAGGACAGTGTGGGAGGCCTGTGGGGTGCTCCTTTGGGAGCTCTGTTAATGTCCAGGATGGAGGAGAATTGATGTGTGGGAGTGCCCCTCACACTGTTCAGCCTTCCATCTTCTCCTGCTGCCTTCTGAAGCAGAATTACCTCTGTGCCTGTTCTCTGGGTTGCAGCATGGCAGCATGTTCCTGCCCTAACAGAGCCCCTGGGTGCAGGCTTCCTCCTGAATCCCAGTGGAGTTTTCTGGAGGAGGAGTCATGCACAACATGGTGTCTTACAGGCCACATGTCTGCCTGTCAGAGTACATTCCTCCTGGCTTCATAGTGTGAGGCTGCTCCAGGCTGGGCTGTGGGTGTGTTTGGGCAGCTTGGGGACCTCTGTCCCTGCTCTGCCCAGGTGGTTCTTGTGTCCATACACAGTGTGGATGGTTTAGTGGCTGACCACTGTTGTCCTCAGGTACTGGAAAAGACCAAGCAAGTTATTGAGAGTCATCCTAACCAGCCATGGGTCATCATGGAAATGGAAAATGGAGCCTCTGCAAAGGTATGGGAAAGTCTGATCTGTCCTCAGCAACCTTCCTTCTCTCTGAGGAGAAGCTGGGTGGTCTTTCATCACTTGGAGAGATGGTTCAGTGTTACAGAGCTGTTCCTCTTGCCACCTGCCATCCCTGAGAAGGGGAAGGGACCACTGAGATATTCTTTTGTGTCCCACCTCCTGGACTGGCACATGGGCTTGCAGGGGTAGTGGGGTTTTGACCACTTGCTGAGTTTCCAGCCGTGCTGGTAGATTTGGAGCCCAGCAGAAATCCCACTGTGTCCCAGGTAAGACTCATCCTGCAGCAGCCATGACACTGAAATGTACTTAAGGGACTGAGAGCAGCAGCTCTGCTGAGCCATGAAAGTCGTGATGCTTGTGGCCCCTGCAGATCAGTTCCAGGAGTGCTGTCCTGGGCTGGGTGTGGACAGGACCAGGCAGAGCTGGCCCCAGCACTGTCTGCTCAGCTGGGTTAAAGATCTTCCCTGGCTAGGGCTGAATCTCCTCCTTCCCTCCTCCACACACATTTTTTCCAAGTGATTTCTGTTGGAATGAATGCTCTGTTGTGTGTGTTGTGCCACAGTGCTGAGCCCAGTAAGTGCCAGGCAGTGGGAGCTGGTTGTGCCTGGGCTTAGACCTCTCTGAGCTAATGCCCTGTTAAAATTTCCTCTCTGAGAGTCTTGGAGCTGATCCTGCTCACTCTCTGTGGCCACCAGCATCACGCTTCTGCTCCCAGTGCATGCTGTTGTAGCATTTTCCCTGGCAGAAGGGTGCATCCCACGGGATGGCAGTGCTGGCAGCCCAGGGAGCTGTGTGTTCCCAGTCCACCCAGAGCAGCACTGCTTTGCTCACCAGAGGACCCACTCCTGGGGCTCTGTGCTGCATCATGCTGTCTGTGCAAGTGAGGGATGATGGTCTCCTTGAGAATAATAGAATGTGTGACAGTCTCCCTGGTTCTTCCCTGCCTGCTGTGTCTGATAACTCTTGCAGGCTCTTCATGCTGTGTTTGAGTACTCTTGACTCCCTTTGGAACAGCTGTTCCCTTCTGCTGGGAGGAGCTTTTTCCCCTCCAGCCAGTACACTCAGGCAAAGGTTTATTCTGGGGCTGATTTTGCCAATTGCTGTATTCCTCAAGGTGGGGAAATAAAAGCATCTTTTCCTTCCTGCCTTGGGGTACACAGGCAGGGTTATGTCCCCTGCCAAGGCTTTTACACTGCCAGGAATGTGAAGATGGCTGATGTTTGGGAGGAGGAACGTTGCAGAGTGCTGCTGGCTGGTTTAATGCAATTCCTGATCCCTGAGGTCTCTATGGGTGCTGTTGGGGCTGGGTGCAAGTGCAGGGAAGCAGTCATATAATTATTTTGTTCTCTTCCAGGCCCTGAATGAATCTTTGAAGCTCTTCAAGACTAATTCCCCCCAGACTGCTGCTATGCTCTTTGCTGTGGATAACGAAGCTGGCAGAATCACCTGCCTGTGTCAAGTACCCCAGGTAATGCCAAGACTGTGTGACTGCCTCTCCCTCAGCCTCTGTGGAGGAGCTGCAGCCTCCAGGCAGGAGCTATCTAACATTACACAGCCAGAACTGATTGGGGTTTGGCAAAAGCCACAGCCTTTGTGCTTGGGCTTATTGTCAGGCTGCAGAAGCGAGGGAAGAGGGGTTATGCTCTGCAAATAGGGAAGAGGAAGAGTCAGGACTTCATGGGGTGGTAGGCACAGGGTGGGGCAGTTGCTAGCAGTGCTGACCGCTGGGTTTCTCTTCCTGCCCAGGAGACTGCAAATAAGGGCCTGAAGGCCAGCCAGTGGGTGCAGGAAGTGTCTGGCTTGATGGATGGCAAAGGCGGTGGAAAGGACATCTCTGCACAGGCAACAGGCAAGAACGTGGGCTGCCTGCAGGAAGCCCTGAAACTGGCCACGGACTTTGCCAGGCTCCGCCTGGGGGAGCTGAAGAACTGATTGAGGGGGGAACCCCGGTCCCTTTGTCTCCCTCTCTGTCCCCTGCGCAGCTTTGCTGTAATAAAGGCTCCCTGCCCCGCGCTCTGCTCCCCGGCTCTGGAGGCGGGACGGGATGGGGTGGGCTGGGCTCCCGCTGCCAGTCACGGCTTGTGCCCGCCTCCTGCTCGGGCCCGCCCCGCCGCCGCCCTCACGGCGTCCCGCCGACCATGCCGCTGGATCACCGCCGCCTGCGCGGCCCGGAGGAGTCGCAGCCGCCGACGCTGTGGGCAGCGGCTGCGGCCGAGGATGAGGAGGACGAGGAGGGCGCGGGGGCGGCGGCGCGGGACCCGTGTGCCCTGCGGCCGCTGTTCGCGCGGGCCGGGCTGCTGAGCCAAGCGCAGGGCTCGGCCTACGTGGAGCTGGGCAGCGGCACCAAGGTGCTGTGCGCCGCTTGGGGCCCGCGGGAGGCGGCCGAGCCCGGGCCGGGCCGGCTGATCTGCGAGTTCCGCCGGGCGCCGTTCGCGGGGCGAGGGGCGCGGGGCCGGCCGGGCGCGGCGGCCGAGCGGGAGGCGGAGCGGGAGGCGGCGGCGGCGCTGCGGGAGGCGCTGGAGCCGGCGGTGCGGCTGGGCCGCTACCCGCGGGCCCGCCTGGCCGTCAGCGCGCTGCTGCTGCAGGACGGGGGCTCGGCGCTGGCCGCCGCCGTCAGCGCGGCCGCCCTGGCGCTGGCGGACGCGGGCGTGGAGATGTACGACCTGGCCGTGGGCTGCGCGCTGTGCCGGCCGCCCGCGCCCGCCGCCTCGTGGATGCTGCAGCCCGCCGAGCCCGAGGAGCGCCGCGCCGCCGCCCGCCTCACGCTGGCCCTGCTGCCCGCCCTCAACCAGGTGTCGGCCGTGCTGGGCGGCGGCCGGGGCGGCCCGCCCGAGGACTGGGCGCAAGCCCTGCGGCTCGGCCTCGATGGCTGCCACCGGCAGTACCCGGTGCTGCGGCAGAGCCTGCTGCGGGCCGCACAGCGCCGCGATGCCGCCGCCGCTGCCACCGCCGCTGCCGCCGCCGCCACCAGTGCCTGAGTGCCCGTGAGACCTGAGTACCCCAGTCTGGGGATGAGGCATCTCCCAGAGGCCGCCCAAGCTGCTTTCAATGCTGCCGGGGACCCCTGGAGCCTGCCTGATCCACACATCGCTGTTGGGGATTAAAATAAGTTTATTTTTAGAATCTTAAAAGTTTATTAAGTTTAACTGTTTACTGCTGATGAACCCCCTGATCCATGCCTGATGCCGCTGGAGACTGGATGAGCCAACCTTTGCACTGCTGGAGAGCCAAGAACTGTGCCCAAGGACCCGGGAATCTGCACCCCCACACACTGCCCGAGCACCCCAGAGTGCACCTGAGAAGCCCTCGTGTTGCAGGACACCATTCTCAACTGGCACCACAGAACCCTTGCACGCTGCTGAAGCCCCCCAAGAACAATCTCCATGCTGCCTCAACAGCCAGAGCCTGCCCGAGACCTCCCTCCGAGCAATTGCTGACACTCTGGGCCCCGACATCTCCACCCAGGCTGAAACCTTCACTACAAGCTCCTCACCATATCCATCTGTGCAAACAACACAGGCAGGAACCACACCATGGCATGGACTGCACATCCCTTGGACTTCTTGCCCAGACAGTGCTTCAGGGTGGCAGAGTTGTGTTTTGTTGGTTTTTTCATAATAATAAATAGTATTTTTTTCTGGTAAATCTTCTGCCTGCATGGGCCTCCTGGGGCCTCTGCCAGCCATGGGCAGGGCTGGAAGGATGTGCTTCTACAATTAAGGTCACCCCCTCTGCTCCCACTGTCCTTGAGGAGTTCAGGGGGAGCTGGGTGCTTCCTTGGGATCTGATTATTCCTGGGGATGGAGTGGAGCAGGTGGTGTTGTCTGCCAAGCTACACCATGGTGGGCTTGCACCCAGCACAGGGGGTGCTGTGACTTGGGGCCATCCTGGGGCTGGAAGAAGCAGCTCTTGGCTAACACCATCTCTCCAAGGCAACCCCTCATGCTGAAGATGAGTTCAGCCAAGGCTGGCCTTGGCTCCAGCAACGCCAGAACCCACTCCAGAGATGAAACTGGAGCTTCCATCCAGTGCAGGCAGAATGTAGACTGTGGCTAAGGAGAGTCTGGTTGGCTTAGGGGAGGAAAATGAGACAAATTGCTCTTCCCAAAGGAGAGAGGGTCTTTATTAATGACCAGGCAGATGATGAAGGACCAGGTGAGGGTGAAAAACCCACCAGGCTGGGGCATTCTCAGCCAGGTCAGGACAATGGCTCAGAGCTGAGCCTGGTCCTCCCTGAGCTACGCCAAGGTCTGCACCCCCAAAGAGCCCCCTTGGCCCCTTGTAACACTGAGACCACAGTCCAGACACAGCCCAGCTGCCACTTTTGGAGGAGGATGCTTTTGTACCTGGCTGTTGCAAGGGATGTCTCCTGCCCAGGGTGTTGCAGAGTGATGGTGGCAGAGGAAGGTGAGGGGCAGAAGATGCTGTGTCAGGGATGCTAAGGTACAGCACACCCCTTCCTGCCAGGTCCCAGTGCCATGGGTCCCCTGAGCCCCTGATTCCTTGCACAGTGAGCTGTGCAGAGATCCTCCTGAGCCATGGTCTGGGCTTTGTACAGCACCAGGCTCCTCCTGAGCCCCAGGATCAGCACAGCAGCCAGCGCTGGCCAGTTCCCAGGGCTGCCAGCTCAGGGGTCCCGCTGCCACAGGGCGATGTGTTCCTGGGCTGCAATGGCAAGTGTAGAGTCAGTGCCTCCCACCCCAGGAGACACAGAGGTCTGGGCAGGGCTGGCAACGAGGGACAGACACAGCAGAGCAGGGGATTGGCACCTCCAGGGCCCAGGAGGGCTCCCAGCCTCTCACTCACCAAACTGGCAGATGTACCGGTTTCGGGTCTTGCAGCGCTGGTCGTTCCAGTTGAAGGCAGCTGACGCTTGCATCTCCACACAGTTCCCAAACCTGTGTCCCACCAGGATGGTGCTGAAGCCAGCCAGCAGTGACACCACGCAGAGTTTGGTGTCCTCTAGATCCACTTACCCCTGGTTGTCCGGCTGCCCAAAAGCGAAGCTGGTGAACGAGGATGGCTCACCCACATCCCAGCGGAAGGAAGCCTTGGATGTCTTGTAGGTGAGACCTGGGGGAGCAGAAGGTGGGTTAGCATGGCTGCCAGCACCCCAGGCACTCTGCACCCTGCCTACTGCTGTCTCTCACCAATCCAGAAGTTTCCAGTCTCAAAGTCAGTGTCTGTCACCCTGTTGCCCATCTCCAAGCGGCTGAGGTAGAAAGCCAGGATGTCCTGAACCTTCTGGTTTCTTATCTGGGCCAGCATCGCTCCTTTCTCCTGTGGGGAAGGGAGTGAGTCTGCCCCATCTGCATGGCCCAGCATTGCTCCAAGCAGAGGAGAGATGTCCAGGGACTCTGCAACCATGGGTGGCACTTTTCAGCTGCCCAGAGATGCTCGGAGCACCCCAGGAGTTCACCTGGCATTTAATTTTGGCTCCATAGTAGGTGTCAGCTTCAGGGGACACCATGAAGCAGTCGCTGTCTATCCGCACGTCACAGGCATGGAAGGGGAAATGGATCTTTGCTGGGGACACAGGCAGAAGCAGGTGGGTCCTTGTGCCAGCAGAGAGGGGCCCACAGAGGACCCTTTGCCCCGCTTTGGGGTGCCCTGCCTGTGGATCACAGCAGTGCAGGGGGCACAGACTCACTGCCACACTCAGCTCCTCCATATCCCACGTCGCAGAGGCAGGAGCACTCCTCCTTCCTGAACCTCCCGTGGAGGCACTGCCCACTGCATCTCACTGTGGGCACAGCACTGCGTCAGCTGCCAGGGGCCTCAGCTGGCCGTGCCCCCTGTGCTGCCACACTGCACCGGCTGTGCCCATGTATGCCTTGCATCAACCCTGCACCCGCTGCCACGCACAAGGCTCCGAAGGCTGCATGGTGCCCTCTCACCTTGGCAGTACCTGCCCGTGTAGCCGGGAGGACAGGTGCACTGGCAGCTGCTCATGTCGAGGCGCCCGCTGTTCCTGCAGCTCATGCGACAAGGGTTCCTGGGCACCTCTGGGAACACCAGAGTGACACTGGGGCATCAGGAGGGGTGGAGGCAGCACCACCAGGGTCATGCAGAGGTCATGCTGACCGGGGGGACTCACCGCAGAGCCCGCCGCTGTGGTCCCAGGACTTGAAGCAGCCAGAGAGGCCAGCGGTGCAGAGGGAGCACCAGGGTCCCTGCTTGTAGGGCAGGATGGGCATCCCGGCCACCTCCCAGTTGCCCCTGGCCCCACAGACAGATGGAGGAAGATGCCCCACCCACCCGGGCAGTCCACACCCCTTTCTGGGGCAAGCCCGCACCCACCTTGCAAAGCCACACCCATCCCTAAATCACCGCCCTGCTTTCGTTCCCCAGCCCCATCCACTTCCAGCACTCGGTCCAATCCACAGCACACAACCCGGCCCAGAACATCCAAACCCTCCTTCTTCTAAAACACGGCCCTATTTGCATTTTCAAGCCCCACCCACTTCAGTGCACAACCCCACCCACCACCGGGACAAGCTCCCCATCCCCTGCCGCACATCCCGTAGGTCAGCTCATGCCCCGCCCTGGTTGAGGCCCCCCCACCCCGCTAAGCCCCGCCCCCTCG